TGGGTATTTCTTGCCTGAAATGTACCTGTTTGCCACTGTTTGACCCATGCCTCTTATGACCACGTCTCTGTTTAATAAAAGCCTGCAAATGGATCCGCACGTCTCTCGTCTCGTCGCCTCCGTTACACATGCTTTGATGTGGACATAACTGAATATAAAACCCATTCTTCTTCAGAGGCCTAAACATCAAAGAGTCTCTTTCTCTCTATCCCCATCACATCTCACCTTCCCTGACTGGGATGTTTCTTCCTCTGCAGTCTCCACACTTCACTCTTATATCAAGGGCATGCACTGCTTGAGCAAAATCCTGTTTTCATTTAACTGATGTGTTGAAAAAAATCTTTTGGAGAAAGCCCACAAAACATAAACAAGAACGCAATGAGAAAGAGAGAGAGAGAGAGAGAGAGATAGGAGGAGGTAGAATGCCAGTTTCCTGCTGCAGTTATTTTATCATTAAGCACTTGAGACAGTTTAGGCTCTGAGGTCGGTGGATATTTGGGTTTTAGTCAGGCATCTGAGGAAGCTTCAGGGCCATTCTTTGATGCAGAATTGGAAGATCACTGCTGACAGCAAAAACAGTTGAACAGTTTAAATGAGCCAACACTAGTTAGCTGGGATCCCAGGTTCGGTCAGTCTGGTCTGTTGGCAGTTTTCCCAGCTTGGTCAGCCTTTGAGACCAGCTAAAGACCAAGTTGTGTTGTTTTTACAACATCTGGAATTGTTTTGAATTCAATTTCACCATTAAGACTTTTTTTTACACATACTACTGTATGTGAAAGGGGCATGAATGCCAGTTCATAAAAAAGTAAGCAGAAAAACTAATTGGTCAAGAAAATATTTTTACTGTTAGTAAATTTTACAAAATTACAAAGAAATTGCAAGTAACACTAAGCATGAAATTAAGTATTAATAGTTGATAAGCAATAATTGCCACAATACTGAAATTTCGGTAACACTTTATTTTAAGGTGTCCTTGTTACACGTTACATGTACTTACTATTATAATAACAATGAATTATGCATTATTACATGCAAGTAAGCCTAAACCAAACCCTAATCCTAACCCTAACCATATATTAAGTACATGTAGTTACTAAATTCGTTACGATACCTTGAAAAATATCGATATTCGCTACCATTTCCGACACCATGGGGGAAAACTGCCACAACATTAAGGGCATAAAGGTAAATGCAACAAGGCATGACAATGAGGTATATTTATAATGAAAACTTATGGATTTGCATACGTTTACTTCAAATTTCATTAGAAAGAAGTATGATGTTATGAAGTGTGAAATGTGTTAATAGACCATTTATTTAATTGTAAATCTGCATGTCAAATTTGCTCTTCCTTAAGTCACACAGTACGTTTTATGTAGTTTTAAGTTACTGGGAAACCAAACACCCCAAATCTCAGTTGACCTGCACAATCCCCATCAATCTCTGTGTGACATACTGGACAAAACCGAACAGTGCTGCTTACTTGCACAACTCACTGATAACACAGACCAGCTGCAGCCACACAACCACGGGTGCATTTCCCAAAAAGCACTATAAACAAACTATGATCGCAAGCTCTATCATTACCAACACAGTTCAACGAAACAGTGTTTCTGAAAACCACAGTTCCAACAGTCTCGCAAACTTTTGTGGTTGGAACTACAGCTCTCGACCTAGTTTCTTGTTAGTATGCCATGTGGACTTTAATAGATCATGCTCCTGAGTGCACATGTTTGTATGTGCTCTAAAATCTCAGAGTATGACTTAAGAGGGAAACTGCGATTGAATCATAACAAAAGAGAACAAAATGTGACCCTGGACCACAAAACCAGTTATAAGGGTAAATTTTTCGAAATTGAGATGTATATATCATCTGAAAGCTGTATGTATGAAAGCTGATGTATGGTTTGTTATGATAGGACAATATTTGGCCGAGATACAACTATTTGAAAATCTGGAATCTGAGGGTGCAAAAAAATCTAAATATTGAGAAAATCACCTTTAAAGTTGTCCAAATGAAGTTCTTAGCAATGCGTATTACTAATCAAAAATTAAGTTTTGATATATTTACAGTAGGAAATTTACAAAATATCTTCATGGAACATGATTTTTACTTAATATCCTAATGATTTTGGCATAAAAGAAAAATCAATAATTTTGACCCATACAATGTTTTTTTTTTGGCTATTGCTACAAATATACCCCAGCGACTTAAGACTGGTTTAGTGCTCCAGGGTCACATATAGCTAAGTAGTGCTCAGATGCCATGTTCATTATTTACAGCAATAATCTAATGTTTATTCGATCTTAAACTAGTTAATTAGCTGATATTATTATTCAACCACACATGACGACGTCAATGACGACTCCGATTTCATATTATTGAACTTACGTAGTTCAAATGATGGTTGTGCGACAAAATGCCTATTGTTTCAGAACAGAGTCATGACTATCTATAGTTTCTTTTTCCAGCAATGGTAGGTAAGCAGTGAGGCATGCTGTTATACACTCTCAGAAAAATTCTGACACACAGGTTGATTAGAGACCTTCACGGATTGCGAGCCATTGTTCCAGAGGGACTGCCAGTGTAATAAGTGTTCTGGAAGTCACTTTGAATAAAAGCATCTGCTTACTGTAATAAACAGAAATTGCATATGAATGTGCACTAGTCTCCCGTGAAACCCTGAAGAAACAGCGTTTAGTCCTCTGTCCTGGCATGCTGCATGCGTCCTAAATAATTAACTGTGAGTCATTAAAGAGCCTCTAATGGTTGCAATAATCTGCATATCTGCTCTTAGATCGATAGCTAATGACCGTGACTGAGTCGCGTCTAGGTGAGGATGCAAAGTGGCACTATAAATACATGCTTAAAGGGGAAATGTGTAATTTACTGTGGCACAAGACATGGCATCACACTGGAGCCATTCAGTCCAATCACTTTACATTCAGAGATTAAATGAGGAAGAGCTTGATAATAAAGTGTGTCCTCATAGCTACTATTACTGTCCACGTAAATCTTTCTCAATAGCACTTTTCTGTTATCAGCAAACCTGCAAGAAAGTAATCAGGTTGAGTGAATTACCTCAGGAACTATTGCATAATATCTGGATTATCCATGCTTTTATATGTAATTATATATTATATATATTTAAACATAAAATAAAATAAAATCCACAACATTATTATTATTATTATTATTTATTATGATAAATAATGTTCCTCAAATGTGTCGATGGGGCCACACTTACATTAAGCATTGTTAAAAGAACTTTAACATTTTGTTGTTTATGTATTACTATTTATTTAAGTTATTTTAACTTGTTGTATATTTAGAATTAGTTTTTAGTATTATATGTTGACTCTATGGATACGTTGCTGAACCTGGGTACAAATTTTGTTCTCATGTGTCAATATGTATGACATAATGACAGAATGACAATAAAGAGTGAAACATTATTATTATTATATTTTATGAATAAAATAAAATAAAAATAAATAATAATAATTATAATTATTATTATTATCAATAATATTATTGTTGTATTATTATTTGTGTAATTTTTTATGAATTTATTTTCCATAAAACAAACATGTATCACCATATGTATTGTTATAATCAAAATATTCAAGAATGTTGTGATGTTTATTCTTGTATGGCCCACTGCTAAATGGCTGCATGAGACAGGAACAAGGCAGTGTTCTGGATGGATTTTGGATTTCTAAACTAAACTGCTGCAGAAGATTGATGCAAAAATAGGCTAGATCTGCTTAATGAGATGAGAGTGCTGTGAATAATCTATGCTCAAATACACAGACTGCTAGTTACTAAGTGGCAATGCAGTCTTTTACCCGTTTCAATCTTCATTTCAGTCTCCATAATAACATGCTGTAATACTAGTAATGAGATTTTTATAGAGCTATTTCCTCAAGTGCTTTTCTTTACACTGACCACGTCCTGAGAAGTGTAATCATATCTGTTTGTGTTACTGTATCTAATATCTTCAATACAAGGAACAAAGCACTTTATCAAAGCAACGTGTAACATATGCCTGTAATTTCAACACAGTGCACGAAAGTTGCTGTCCTTTTTCTTCCCATAGCGAGCTACTGAAACCTGTAAAACTGGCTCTTTCTTTTCCATTTCACTCAAATCAAATCATCAATTCAGTCAGAATCAGCCTGAGAGCAGCGATTTTCAGCACAGTGTGATTTAATAGGCAGATGACCACTTAGTGTGTGTGGCGACCCCATTAAACAAGATGAAGGAAGATCAATGGGAAGTGTTTTCCCATAACCCTGAGTCAAGATGTACCAGTAACTGCCCTCTTTTCTTTTTTCTTTTTTTTTTAAATCTACGGTTCATGTTACTGATCACCAAAACTGCAGCTATGAGAACAAGAGCGAAGCAACATCCAGTCCAATTAAACCTCAAATGGCAAAAATAAATCCTTATAAACCCCTAAGTTACATCAGAGTTGTTGTTGCTGCATATCACAGTTGAGTAGTTTTAATAACAAAAATAGACAGATATCAGAGAGACATCCTTGATCAAAAAATCTTAAAGAATTTCTATCCTTGCAGATTTAAATATGGGATCAAACAAAGAAAATACAAAAATACTAAAATAATATAATCATATATTAAATAGCATTCATAATATTTACATAATAATATAAACATATATATAAAATGAATATTTTAATATTTAAATGTTTTAAAGCCTTGAAGACTCATCCTATGCAATTAACATTCAAATCCATGAGATCTAAACGCGAATAAGCGAAAATGTTGTTTCATTCGTGATCTATTCATGAGAACGATATTGTAATCCAGTGGCATCCAGAAGCAAACGAATATGCGCCAAATACTTCATCATGAAGTTGAGCATATCATGAAAGCATCTCCAAACCGGGACATGAGCTACAGCTGCCCAGAGCCGCACTTTCCCCCAAAACACGTTATCACACACAAACCCCCGCAAAAACAGCGCTCACACTGACCCTTCTGCTGCTTGAAGGACTGTATGGATCCAGAGTGATGCACCATGGTGGTTATCGATAGAGATCCTCGCGTGCAGAAGATGAAGGCAGGATACATGGGAAAGTATGGAGCGATCGCGTAGGTGTCTCTCCTCTGCGCAACCCAACACCTGGCTACCCTCGCGCGCCACCATCCGGGGCTGTTGTCATGGTTACGTACTGTAAGAGGATGGACGGACACCAAATGACCCGCGTTCTGGGGGGCGTTCACACAGAACGTGCTCTTGCGTTCCGTCTGCGCTATTTTGAATTGCTGGACACATGCGTCAGACGGACGTCTTTGACTGTTACGTCGCGTCCTGCTCTTTATTCCTAACGCTTCGCGACATAGCGTTGCATTCTAAGACGCGCTGTCAAGAGTGTCACAGTAACTTTTTGAAAAACACATCTCTAACGCGTTCTGTTCCATTCCGTTCTGTTTTTGGACACAAGATAAGGAAATGATGAGACTCGGATAACCCGATACGCATTATCTCCAGGAAATAATGCACCAATTATATTCATAATTTCCAGCTATTTGCTCCATTTTGTCAGAGAATTTTGCCCAACAATTTAAACGATATTGATTTAGCATAGTTTTGACCAGGGGTGTAAGTGATCTTTTCTCAAAAACAGCTAGACAATGCGCGACAGATAAGATCCCTGGTAACAAATTTAGGTTTT